TTTAATTATAAAGGGACAGAAAATAATGGAAATAAATGTTTTGAGGTTATTATTGAACTTTGTTATGAAACATATTAGCCGCATTCGATTGATATTTTCTGTGCTCGCTAAAAAACGGACTTAAATTTATGATAATAGAATCTGCTCTGTATTTTATTCTAAACATTTTTTCTTTTGCATTTATGTAGTATATAAAGACTATATTTGGTTATACTATATGTATATCTCATAAACATGTAATTTAAATAAAAAATTTCGTTCATTCCTTTATGGTCGTACAGTTTATTATAATAATCTTACAAATATAATTCCTATATGTTTTGTCTCATTAGTTTTATTTTTAATTTTAACGTAATAATGAGATGATGATGAAAATACGTTAACCTCGGCTGTACGGTAGCTACAATCTGATAATGTATTGGGTGAGCGTCAAATAATAAAAATCGGAATTTGATTGATCACTTTGTATGGTAGCTATATGCTATAGTGGTCTGATATCGGAGGTTTCGCCAAAGAAAGTGTGGAAAATTTCAGATGTGCATCTCAAAGAGTGAAGGGCGGTATAATAAAAGTTTTAAAAGTATTTGCTTTTAAAACTTCATAGAAAAATTTTATGAAATCTATTTGAAACCCTCAAAGCAATAAAAAACGAGAACGCTCATTGCGGCGTCACTACGTTTAATTCTGAAAGTTATCGCTCATGTCTGCTTTGCCACGCGCTATGAATAGAAAATATGTACGTATATACATATATATAATATGTATGTACGTGGTATCAACGCATTCACAGAGTCATAATTTTACCTCTTATCAAGCCTAGAAACATTGGAAATCGTGAATACCCGCTAGTCTCCAAGGCGGTCAAAAATATTTAAATATTTTCGTATTTCATTTTTATTGTTTATTTCTATACTACTTTTTTTTTACCTCACTCACTTTCGTTTTTTGCTTTTATATTCTTCTGCTTTTTCTTCTTAATATTATGGCCTTGCCGCGCAATTCAAATACTTTAAATGTCGCAAATAATCAAAATTGATAATAGATTTTCTATATTTCACTGTTGCAAAATATTATTTACTCACATTAGATGTTCATGCAAATATAGTACATGTATGCGCTGTAAGAATGTGCAAATAATATTCACACGTTGTTAAATATTTCATAGTATTGTAGTTCTTCGATTTGCTAAAAATAAATGCACCGTTGAGGTCTTATCGTTTTTTAAACTTTGTTGATTTGACGCAGTTTCAACATTATTTTTTCTTCATAGCAGATAAATTTGTGGTTAATAGAAAAAAAAGAAAGAAATTTTGAAGTGAAAAAAATATTGTACTAGAAGTTTGATAGAGTTGTTGTTTTAAACTTTTTTCACTTGATAAGAGCTTTCTTGAATTTTAACTTCTGATTGATGGAATTGTTTAAGGTTATGAAATTCTCAGAAAAGCTGCATTGAAATAAATGAAAAATGTGGTGTAGATCCACATTATGATTAGAAAAACAGTCAACCATAGGTTTGCTCATATTAAGTATATGGCACTTTATAAAGTTTGTTTTTGCAAAGTTTGTTTCTGATATAAATATATTTTAAAATGAAATAATAAGATATCTTAGTTATTAATCAAGTTATCGTCTCGTCATCCTGATTATTTTGATATAGTACATATAGCACTATATTTATCTTGAATAGCTTTAAGTTTTACAAACCGTTTGGTGATCAAAACTAGTAAACAAGGTTTGTCCAGCGCATACATATTTTTTATTAATCATTCATTATAAAATATCTTTTTCATGTTAGTTTTCAGTTTTGGAAATAGAACATAGTCTCATAATTTAATTAAAAAATCTTCAGTTAATATTATCTAAATACTGCATTCGTATTTAAATCGCCAGCCATCATAATGGTAATAAAATTTGTATCGATAAAAAAAAAATGTCAATGCCTTTTTCCACCAATTCAGCTTGTAGATGACCTGGCCTTTAGTCATTTAAATCTTCATAACCATTTTTAAATCGTGTAAACGATGTATAAACTTAAGTACAACCCATTAACATAACATTTTTGATCAATTCATATGCTTGAGCGAATTTTTCAATCGATTCAAAAGCGCATAGTTACTTTTATTAATTTATTTTACTCTGTTCGATATTGTCCAGGAATGATAATAACTTCATGTGAACCAAAGCCATTGTATAAACCAAACAAGTAACAAATCCTATCATTTTCACCCATACATACACACGCGAAAGCTTAGTTAGCAATTAGAATGCAATAGAATGAGGGAAGACTCAGTTCAATAGCCTAGGCAGTTCGTTAGGGTTTCCTGAATATTCTACTACTAAAACGGCCTAATGCCTTAGAAAAGGCACAAGTTTGTTGCCGTGTTATGCTTTCCAATTTATTATTTAAAGTACGTTTTTGTTAAATTCTCAAATATATTTCGATTATTAAAGTTCATATAGATTAAATTTACCTAGTTTTGAAGAAAATTTTATTTATTGTATCAAAATGTTGGTAAATCTTTTCTATTTTATTAAAAAAAATTTGAAGAATCTATCTATTTTTGTTTAAATTATTACAAATAGTTTTGTTTAGTATTGTATATTGAGAAAATAGGCCTCTTGGGGAACCTAACACCCAAAAAATATTTCTAACGCGCCTATACTGCAACCTCTTTACTATTTTTAAGTCCTTTTATTTAAATCTCTGTGCCGAAAAATCAACTATTTCGATCAGGTGATCTCAGCTGTTGATTCTTTTGTTACTTGAATGTTTCTACAATGCCCAAAACACATTAGCGAGAACATTGCTGGTCGACTGTTGTGGTTTCCGGCACTTTCAACGACTTTCAACCGGAAACAACCATTCAGCGGATTGCTGATCGTACCAGCACTTTGTCATTGAATATGCTGAGACGACTTACCGTAGCAATTAGTCAACTGTTGCTGTGAAGCATTGCTGGGATTTTCCATCAGAAAACTATTTTAACCAAAAAAAGCACATTTTTCACTTTTATACTGTATGAAATATATTCCTTATACAATTTTTTATAAACTAATTGCTCAATATATACTGAAGATCAAACTTGACTTGTAAGTTTGATAATATTTGTTTTTTTTTTTTTTAATTTTTTCTGGAGAGTCTTTTTATTGGATATATATGTATATATATAATATATGAACGTATTTTAAAAATTCATATAATATTTTATTAATAAAAATATTGGGTAGCGTCGTTTCTGTAGAAGATCTCCTGAAGGTCCTCAACAAAAAGGTGTTTGGTGAGGAAAATATCTCTGATCCAAATTATTTGAAATAAAAAAACCAAAAAGATTCCATTTAGGATAGATAAATACAAGTAATGAACCGAAGAAATAGTGAAAATTATGAGTTTAGACAAAACTCTTCCAAAAATTATTTTTGGCACGAATATTTACACTTTAAAGAAACTTAAAAATTGAAGATCCTGTGAAGTTTCAAGTCAATCGGTCAAGCCGTTTCGGAGAAATATTCCTCACGGACATGATAACATGATAACATCATTTAATCGCATTTAAAGTTTTGCTGCTACTCTGGGTTACGCCCACTTTCAAACGCTCGGAGACGTCTTCACAAATACGCTAATTACTCCGAAACTATTTACCGGATTACATTGAAGTTTACAGACAATATTCTCGAAAATATATGTACATATATTCAAAAAATCCAAAAAAAAATTTAGATTTTTTTTAATTACAGGTGGATAACCCCTTTAAGTTTTTTATAATGCGCTTGCTTATTAGCTTAACTTCTGACACTGTATTCACCAGACTTGACGGCCTGTTACTATATTTTGTTTGCGAAATTGAAAAATTCCCTTCGGGGAACGAGCAATGAATTACTGACCAAATATATAAAATTCGCTAAAAAAAAACTGTTGGTAATAAGCAAACCGCTGCAAAACTACGCTAATTTTTTTCTTTCGGCTAAGTCGAAAATAGTAGATGTAAAAAATGCTCTAATCGAGACTGAGTCATAAATAATTTCTTTAGTGGCGTAACTCCTTAAATACAGAGTATATGTTCATATAAATCTATAGTAAAATGATTATGTCAAACAAATATATAATCTAGTGTTGCCAACACATATTTCCACGTTTTAAACATACCTAAGGGTTACATCCTTAAAATCATACTTTTCAAAATTACTCAAGGCAAGGTCAAGGCATTAAATTTTAACACTCAATTTTTTCGAAAAAAAAAAGTCTGGTTAACGTCTGTGAAAAAATGCTTTCGGACTACCAGGATGTCGTGAAACGTATTGAACGAATGAATGAAACGCGATGAGTCTTGGATATGCGTTTACGACCTGGAAACATACGATCAATGGCCAAATATCGTGGCAAAGGTGAGCCGAAGCCGAAAACACTACGTCAAAGCAGGTCAAAACTTTAGAATGAGGCGTCGTTTGTGTGAAGCTATTCGTAAAAATAGGCTAGAATTATGGGCTGACAACTTTTGGTTTTTGCACAATAATAATGCACTGTCGAGTTTTAAGTGAGTACGACGCCAAGTTTTCAACCAATATCGTGCCGCAACCAGCAAATTCTATGGCCGCATCAGGTAAACCATTTTGAGTTAATTGAAGCCATTCAACGTGAATCGCTACGCGCATTGAAGGCTATTCCGAAAGCTGACTTTAACAACTGATTCGAAGATTCAATTTCACAAATGTATTGGGGCCTAGAGAGATTACTTTGAGGACAACGACATAGATTTTGAATAATAAAATAATAATTTTAAAATTATGAACAAAGTCTTACTAATTTTGGCTCATAGTAGTATATAATAATATATGTATGTATATAACACAAACCTATAAAAACCATTATGTATACTTATACGAGTCTGTTATAAACAATATATAATAAAAGCGTAACTTTAATAAAAACTAACTTCACTTCATTAAAATTAAAGTGATTTAATACAAAGATGTATGCAATTTCTGTTTTTCCTCTCCCACAGTTACCCTCTCATAAATATTCCGCTACCCGGTACCATACCCACCAAAATTATGCTGCCCTTCGACGGCCGTTACTCACTTTTCGCAGAACAACCACAACAGAATGTCTCATTGGTTAGGAATTTCTTCAGCCCCCCCACTAGCAGTAATTTTAGCTATGATCCACCATTTCCATGGGCAAAAAGTTCACCTGTGTTCTACGTACAACAAATAATGTTACGCACTAGTGTGCTACCCTGGACCGAAGACATGCAGCTAATGGATGCCTATCGTGCGCCGCTTTACGAAGTTTTTAAATTGCTAGAAATTGTGCGTAATCATGAAAGCGCCGCCAAGTGAGTAACTTACGGATATATGTACATATGCACACGTGCGAATAAACTTATTTACATAGCTTTATATATGCATATTTACATAGTGAATGCATTTATATTGTTATTTGCTTGCATGTCTCATTCACATTGATAAGCTAATTTGATTGAAATTAAAAGTATTTATTTGTTCACTGCTCCCTTAGCAAACGCACATTGGAGCAATCTTGCTGGCATGTGGATAATGTAAAGCGTACGCGCGATGAAAAAGTATTATTCCCCGAATATAATTGCTTGTTATTGTCGCCGGCGAATTTATGGTATCAAGATGTGCAAAATTTCACGAATGACTCAAATTTATTGAACACCATCTTTCAATATCATGTAAGTATGTATCTGCTTATGAATGACAGCTGTATTGTAAAAGTGTTTATTTTGTTAATTTGTTCGAAAAACAATAAGAAATCAGGCTAATTCCCTTTGCAAGAAAAAATATAATCATGCGGTATGTTGCTCAGAATATAATAGTTTTTTCCACATAACGGTCATAACGGTTGTATCACTTAAAACTAATCGAAATAGATTTAGGGTTATAAATATATAAATGATCAGGATGGTGAGACGAATTGAAATCACGGTGTTTGGACGTCCGTCTGTCCGTGTAAACTGTAACCTGAGGAAAAATTAAGATATCTTAATGAAGCTTTAAAAAGTAAGGAGTTTGTAGATGAGCCTAATCGGACCTTCCCATATAACAGCACTGTTAGAAACTACTAAAGGAACGATTAATCAATACTTACTACTTGTAAATACTTTTGATGATGTATGTGTTACAGGGCTAAAATGGAGGAAATCGGACAACAGCCACACTTACTTCCCATACAACACAATTTACAAATTTATTTTCACTTTCTAATACACAAATTATGAACGAATTAATAAGAATCCTTAAAGCAGTTTGATTTGTGATTTAACATACTATTTAGTTAGGACTTTTATGGACCTATGATAAATTTATTGAAAAATTTTAATCTTAGATAAAAAATAAGAATCTAATTTTTATTCCACATCAGATTTTAAAAATGATCGGGTGATACTTTTCATGTTTTGATAAAACTTTTCATGTTTTGATAAAAAAAATTTTAATTAAAGAAGTTTATTAAATATACAAAATTTTCAAATTTAAAAAATTCACAATCCTGCGTAACGTTAATCTAGATTGACACATTCATTTGTTTACCCATGCAACATATAAATTGAAAAGTTGAAGATAAAATATCTGCGCACGCTTCTAATATTAAGCATTTACATTGTTTTCAACGTATCATGCTTCCCCAATCCTCAAAAAACGCTATCATTTCGCCTTCTCAGTTCATTTTATACCGAACTCATAGATTAGGATAAAGGATTTATTTCACACAGTTTTAATTATTCTAAATTACGAGGGTATATAATGTTCGGTTACACGCGAATTTAGCTCATTCTTACTTGTTTATTTTTTCTTTTTACTTCTTCCAAGATAGTGACAAAATTTTAGTATATTTTTTGTTTGAAGATAAGAAAAGTATCACTACAACCTACTACATGCCTAGTTGACTCATCTTTAATATGTATAGCGGTACTGACATACATACATACATACATATATACTTATATTCGATTTTCGCTAAAAATGTATGTAAATTGTATATTCTTTAACAACTTCATCTTTTTTCCAACACATCTGGTAAAATGATTTCAAACACAACAAGGTGAGCCTACGTCAGCAATTAATTGCCTATTTCGCTGACGTTTCGCTGTCTGCATCTTAAGTGTCTCCTGTTTACTTTTCTGAGCAAATATTGCATTAAACACTAAACGATATTTGCCTACTAAGTTTACCCAATTCTTCAATGTGCATGAATATGCTTGTTGCTGTTGACATTGTCGCTAAATATTACACGTACAAAATGATTAGTTTGTACCTGTATATAGTAATGATCAATTAAAGGTTGTTACTACGTGTAATGGTTAAAAGCATTATTATGATTTATACAATTTTATTTTTTAATATAATTGCACTAAAATTATAATATAATATAATTGTAAAAAATTATTTTACTTCTACAGAAAAGGAATCCAAAGATGTCTGACATATAATGAATAAACTACTGTAGGCAAAAAATAGTAACACTTTTTAAGTCTTTGCGCGAAAACCCTATCGTTGAAATATTTGTTTATTCTATTTTTGTCTGACTGTCAGCGACACCTGTGCCAAATGTAACATCAAAATAAGCATTAGTGTTTATTTTAATTATTAAATTTGTGTGCGTTATCAAATTTCTGTTTCCTCAACGTTCAGAATTTTGGAAAAAATAATTGTTTGTCGCGAGAAATTGATTTGATTGGTATAAATTTTTCAAAGAGGGTCGAGAGCGCGTTGACGACGAACCACGACCAGGACGGTCATCAACATCTCCTGATGGCCAATTCATCAATAAAAAAAAGGAATTGGAGCTTGAGAATCGACGATTAACCGTCAGAGATCTTACTGGCATCGATGGAATATCAGAAGCATCAGTGAAAACCATTTTAAAAGATCATTTGGGCCTAAGAAAAGTTGGTTCCAAAAACACTTAATTTTTTCGAAAAACAACGTCGCGTGAACATCTGTGAAATAATGCTTTCCGACTACCACGATGGCATAAAACGTATTATTACTGACAACCAAGTTTATGTTGACAGTTTTCTTCGATTATCGAGATGTGGTGCACTCCGCATTTTTTTCGACCGGCCACTATTATTTGAGTGTTATGCGTCGTTTGCGCGAGTCCATTCGTAAAAATAGCCCGAAATTAAGGGCCGACAACTCTTGGTTTTGCAACCACAACAATACACCGTTGCATACTGCAACGTCTTACTATTTTTTGCTCATGGTAGTATTTTTATATTTATTTTCCGAAAATTGTTCTACAAATTTTAATATTTTTTACGGTATTATCGATTTTGATTAATAGATAAAGACGTTTGCTTTGAAATCGTTATTGAGATGTGTGTCAGCCATAACCTTGCTATACCAAAAAAAGTTATCGAAACCTGGTGATTTAGAAGGCCAGTAAATGTCACTTTGATTTTATATCCGTCTTCCATCTCATTTTTGTGATCGACAGTTTAACTTGATTCGCATTGTGTCAGAGATCTCCCAAAAATTAATTCTTATGTTGGCTTTCAGACAGACACTACTTTTTGATTATTCAATTTCTTTTCATAGATCGTGGATGGATTTTTTGTTTCATAGCTTTCAAAAACATGTCTTAATTTCAAAGTTATTCAAAACCTATTGTACTCACCGACATGAAAGATAACACACCCTGTTGTTTACAAATATTTAGCCCTTTCTCACTTGCCTTTAATTTAAACTATATAACACTTTATATTTACACTTTACATAGGATCGGCCGCTTACACAGATTTGTTTGGATACTTGTTTACTAAAGGGCGAATATAATTGTTTTTTCATTTATTTATGATTATTTGCTAAAAAAAAACGGCACTACCCCATCTACTTAAGTTTTTCCCTATAAAAAAAATTTATTCCGTCAATTATTCTCTTAGTATAGATCTTTGTATGGAAAACATCTACATACGTACTTTGACATATAGACTTCCTCATCTTCTTTATTCACGTAAACACAGCTTATGCGGTTATAACCGAGTTTACATCAGCGCACCAGTCGTTTTTGCTTTTCCCTGTTCTGGCCAATTTGAGATTCCAAATGTAGCCTAGTCTTTCCAACAGAATGCAGGTTTTCCTCTTCCTCTGCTTCCCCCGGCGGGTATTGCATCAAATACTCTCAAGAGTAGGCAAGAGTTATTCTGCTTTGGATTTCGAGGCTAACATTTTTGTTGAGATAGACGGAATTATGTACGACTTCAAAGTTATGACTGTCAACAGTGACGTGTGAGCCAAGTCGAGACCTTCCTCATACCTACATATTTAGAAAATATATGCACAAATCGTTGTTTTCATGTCTCTAGAATGTCATCATATTTCTATATCATCTTCTAATCAGAGAGTTTCCAGCTAGAACTCCTACAACCATTGAAAGGTGAACCTTACTTAAAGCGAAGAACTCCCTAGACCCCTTCCGATTTACTACGGGCTCTTACGATTATATAGTTGGTAGTAGTTGACCAACGCTTGCTGAATTGGGAGCCCGAGCGGTCTAGTAACAAACCTCTAGCAGTAGCACGAAGCCAACGGAGCTCCTACCCGTCACCATTCCGCAATTATTGAGATTGAAGTAACAGTCCTAGCAAGCTTATCAGCCTTACAGTTTAGTAAGAGTAGATCTACTGCAACCTTTATGGTTAGATATTTCAATTAAATTAAAAAATAAGTTCATATACATATCTTCTCCCTGTCTCAAATTCCAAATAAATTCTCGATTCCAGTTACGGGTCCAGCAATAAATCAGTCCATATTTTCTACTACCCTAACCGTCATAAAGTATGTATCTTGATTTTGGTCTGTCCTGTATTTTGTGTCACGTTGTCGCAAGAATACTGGCTTCAAAAACCACATTTTTTTTCTAAATTGTAACAGGCAATTAAAGTATTTAAGCTCTTTTTTTATAGATCAATGAAACTAGTATTCTACAACACATGTTATTATCAACTTTCAGAATCTCCAAAAAACCAAAGTCTCCATCGCCGAAATGCTCTTCGGAGTACCAATGCAAGACAGCGGCTTCAAGCGTTATCCACTTCGTTCGCGTTCGCGTATAATACAATATGCCATCACACTGATACTGAAGCAAAACGATCTGGAGTATTTAAGCACACTAAAACATAAACTCTTCCAGTACTATCCGCCCCTGCAACTCAATCCAATAACAACGACAGATCAGCCAACAACAAAAGCCGGTGATGGGAAATCGGCCATCACTTACATTTTCTATCCAGATGAGTTCAAACTGTGGGAGTTTATGCCGTTAGCGATTGCTTTTGTGCTGTTGTTCATTTATATGTATTTTTCGGTGCGAAAGATCGAAATAATACGCTCGCGTCTCTTACTCGCAGTTTGTGCTGTTATAACAGTACTAGGCAGTCTGACCATGTCGCTGGGCGTTTGCTCATTCTTCGGTCTCACTATCAGTTTGCAATCGAAGGATGTGTTTCCCTATTTGGTTATATTGGTTGGTCTAGAGAATTGTCTAGTTATAACGAAGAGCGTCGTTTATACGCAAGAGACGTTTGATGTGAAGATACGTGTCGCCAAAGCGCTCAGCAAGGAAGGTTGGCACATTTCCAAAACGTTGCTAACCGAAATCACCATACTTACCATTGGTTGCATCACAATGGTGCCGGTCATACAAAAGTTCAGCATATTCGCCATTATCGGTTTGCTCTCTGATTTCATGCTGCAAATGTTGCTTTTCCCTACCATACTCGCAATGAATATCAAACTGCCCGAATACACTACCGAAGCAAAGCATTTGCCAAAAATGATGTTGAGATGCACAATGACCAATAACACGGCAACGCTACCGCCTGGTGGTTTCGGTATGCTGCCGAATGGACGTAATGACTATCGTTTCTACGATAAGAATCAGACGTATATATCCTTAGCGGGGGATGTCTCGACCACACCGCACCATGCCATGAACAACGGTGGCTTCGGCATGTTCCATCGTTCACAATCGCACCCAAAACTAACATTCGCCGACCTCAATACACATCCAGCGGACTTAACAGCAAAGACTGGAATTCAACCGAACAAAGATGGACGTATACCGAAGCGACTGCGCATTGTTAATTTCTGGGCGCGTACGCGCTTCTTTCAGCGTGCCTTCATGATTTGGATGAGCGTTTGGATATGCACGATTGTTTACAATTCGGGCTGTTTGGAGAATCTATTTGCAATGGATGGCAATCGTACGTCGTACGGTAAAGACGAAGCGCAACGATATGTCAAGACACACGAACAAAGCGCGGTTTCAAGCTTCTTCACAAATATGCAGCATGTAATAAATGGCGCAACAACAGCGGGACAGAACAGTGATGGTGAGGGCGGGGGAGTGAAGGGACAACGCGATAGCCGTATGCAGAAAGGCAAGAAATCGCTACATGGCAGACAGAAAGGTAAGTGTTATAATTATATGATTTCTAAATGTTCACGCATTATTGCATTCCTAGGCTCCGCCGGCGATGGATCCGTTAATGACACAGATGCCGAGCTGCGTCGTCTGCTCTATCCAGACTATGAAATGAATTATTTTCTCTCAAATTTTCACTGGTGCGCTATTATGAAACAATATAATATTTCGCTGAGTGGACGTTATGTAACTTTGCTACCCACTATCAAGTTATCGCATCCTATTAGCGCCGAAGCGGCTGTGCTCATACGCAATCCCAAAGAGAAGATAGCGCAAAACTTCCAATGGAAAGCGCTTGCCGCAGCACTTGATCCCATTGATTTCAATGACGATGAACGCCGTGAATCGCCAATGGTATTTCCAGGCGGCACACCACTTTACCCCAAAAGTCCGATGGAATTCTTTTTCGTCATTTCCATGTGTTTAATCAGCATTTTTGTGCTCAGCTACACAATGGTCGTTTTCTATCGTTGCATTTGCACACGCAACTATGCCGAATGGCGTTCCAGTTGGTATGAGTCGTCGGAGATACAACAGAAAACTGAGCATATACTCGAGGGTGTTCCCACGAAAATTGTCGGTCACAAGCATACGATCGAATGTTTAATAACCGATGGTTCCCATATCATCAGTTGTTGCCTGCGTGGTCAAATAAAGGTGTGGGATTCACGCAGCGGTGAGAATTTGACGACAATTCATCGTGAACATATGCAGATAGCAACAAAGCGTGAAGACGAACAGGTGGCGCTCGAGCGTTTACCCTACTCGCCGATCTGGTGTATGAACGCGTTCGATAATCTAGTGGCGGTGGGTTGTGCAAATGGGCGTATCGAGTTGTGGGAAATGCCAGACGGCGTCTTGAAGGTGTTTACTCAATTGAATCTTACATTATTTTAATTATTTTTGCTGTATTTATTTATTAACTTTTTGCTTGTAGTGTATTTCACCTGGCGAAGTGAAGTCCAATCAGGGCATAACGCACATCTATATAARTGGTGATCGGGTCATTGTGGCGCGCTTGTGTGGGCGCTTAGAGTTCTTCCGACTTGAAACCTATTGTAAAGGACAACAAATCGATTGGAATTTCACGTCGGCATATAGAAGAAGTAAGTGCAAATAGAAATACTTGTTTGCTTGGAGTATCTTCTTAGAATAGTATAAGTTTTGATAAAGAAAAACAAAGAAATGAAATGAAACATTAAGAGATAAGGGATAAAGATCGCTTATAGGCTGCGAATATTTTGAAAAATAAACAAAATTGGCGGAATAAAACACATATTCGGTTTCTAAGAGAACTTATTTAAGCACATTTCGAAAGACTGACCAAATCAGATTCAAGCTCTGGTCGAATATTTTTTTAAAATAATTTTTATACGATAATCTACTGCGGAAAAAAGGTTTTCATTTTACTGAAGTATTCCCAGAGGTTTATGCAATACCAACAATCTATTAAGGGTCAACCCTTTTGTTCTGATACGGTACAGAGTATATTAACTTGGTCATGAAGTTTGCGACATCTAAAAAACTCTGGAGACCATATAAAGTATGTATGTAAATGAACAGAGTAATGAGCTATGTTCGTATGTGTGTCTATACATAAGTACTCCCTCAGGTTTGAGATGTCGATACGAATTTGTTGACACGCCTTTTGCTCACTAAAACGCTGCATATTTTTCGGAACTACCGCTATGAGACTACTATAACAGATATCAACCATACAAACTGAACGATTAAAATAAACTCCTTGTATGGAGATCTTTTTATTTGACAAACTATCTTCACGATATTTGACATGGCTTGCTTTGAACATATGGGCTCACTATAGCATATACATCTGGCAAATCTAAATTCAAATAAAGATTCTCATAAATTTGTTTCCTATTAGGTAATCTAAAACCCACTTAAAAATTTTTTAAGTTCCGTTCCGTTGGTACATAGGTATAGTTGTTATAACATATACATCAATATTGGGTAGTATAGTTTCGGTGCAGCCGAAGTTAAAGTTTTTTTTATAATTATTTTTTTAACCTTCTTTCATTACTTACAGCGCACACACGCACCAGTTCAGCTGGCAGTATTGGGTTAATGCACCATACGCAACAACAACGCGGGTGTTTTGCTGGTCAATCGCCGCCTCCTTCTAACAAGGAAGAAATGAAAATCACCTTAGAAGCCGTGCGTTTCGCACATCAACAGCCCATTACTTGCATGGAGGTGTCCAATGGAATGGTCTTCACTGGTAGTCAGGATCACACACTTAAAGTACGCGACAAATCAAAATATCTTTAAATTTATTAATTTTTTTGCATTTCCTTCGCGCACTAGGTGTACAGCCTAACAAATGCCAACATCGAATACACACTACACGGTCATTGTGGGCCAATAACGTGCCTTTTTGTCGACCACTGGCAACCTGGCACGGGTGGCTCTGGTTCCCAGGATGGTATGCTATGCGTATGGGATTTGTTCACTGGCGCTTGCATGTACAATATACAAGCGCATGATGGTGCCGTCACGGCGTTGGTATGCGCACCCACATATGTTATTTCTCTGGGTATTGATGAGCGTATTTGTGTGTGGGAACGTTTTCAAGGCAACCTATTGACTACTATCAATATATTGAACGCTTATTCGAGTTTATTGATGTTGACACCATCGTTGCTTGTCACTTGCAAAATGGGTGAGTATTTTTCCTTTATGAAATATTTTGAAAAATACTAATAAAACCATTTATCAAACTTAACTAAAAGAGAGATGCAACCATATTTTGTTGTGTTTACAATTCTTTCGAATAAATATTTTAATTTTTAATTTCATCTGACTGTTTTTTTTTTTTTTGATTTGTATTATTTTTCTAAATTCTATCTTTCAGGTTCCCTCATCGTTTGGGATGTGCGCACTGGTGAACCAGCGCGTGAAGTTAAACTTGATCGCGCGAATTCTCTACTCTGTCCGAAAACTTTAATGCTCACCGGTGATGCTGTTGTATGCGACTATGGGAATGAGTTGCGTGTGGTGCGTTTTCCAATCGTTTCAGATAAATACAGTTGAACGAACTGCGCACTACCTGAACCTAATAATTACTAATAACAATAATCATAAGTGCGTCCACACACAGTTTTGATAGCAAGTTTAAAAAATATTGTCTATCTCAACTACCATGTACGTCCATAACTCACACAAATCACCAAATTGCCTGATAGCCTAAAGGTTGTGGCTGAAGCCTTGTGGTGTTTATTTCAGAAGATGACTGCATTATATTCGTTAAATTTTTTTTAAAGAACTTAAAGATTTCTCAGAGAGGGTACGTTTGTGTAGATACGCATACAGGCATCGCAAAAAACAGGATTAAACTAAATTAATTACATATGTTTATACAGGCAGTTAAGTAGTCGAATTCGGACTTGCTGTAAATTTTTTTTAGTTTTTTGTTTTTGGTTTTCAGTAGCATTCATAATCTTTCTACTATTTCTAATAAATATACACATATTTTAGACTGCAACTGTGTATATTTTAGTAACACTTTATTTTATTTTATCTTTAAACTCTTCTTCGCAATGGGGCTATTTTGCATTTGCCTTAAGAGTATACTTTAAATAATTGTATGCCTTTTATAGAACACTTTTTATTCTGAATGCGTTATTGTGCCTTTCAAAACTGAACTGACTTTCATGTTTCATTATAAGTTCCATTAAACTCACAACCAGTTCATTTAATATCCTACCAAAATTATGTTTAAGCTGATTTATATATAAGCTCAGTATATATAAAATACATACATACGTATGTGCACATATTTTTAACCCACTAATAGGCGTTTTAGCTTTTTATTTATATTTTTATATTTAGCCTTAGGTTTAATTTGGATATTGTAACAAGAAGACACTTATGACACATTTGTATACTTTTCACAGTTACAGTTTTCCGATTTATTTGAAATAAATTGACCCCAAAAAACAATAATTCATAATAAGAAAGTATATATATTTCTTTTGCATTTTTATAAGAAATCACCTCTCCCGTTAAGGAGGTTACGATAATCTATACAATTAATAATATCTACTTTTTTATTTTTTCGTCCGTTTGTTTAGATAGATAGATACATAACTGAGGAATGCACTGCGACCATAGGTCTATTGTGCCCTCTCCTAACTCACAGGGACTCGCTTAGCCCCAGCATATTGACGAAGTTCAGTATTTTGCTGGGTGCTAGCGAGGCGATGTGGTCCCTATCCGGAAACATGGCTCCAAGGGCCTTCGACCTGCGCMTACAGACTGCAATGCAGYCGATTAGCAGGTGCTCCGSGGTTTCAGGGTCCCTGTCGCAAAACCGACAGTTGACGCAAGATGACCACGTTGGTTAAGTGCCTTTTCAGCTTGCAGTGGCCGGTATAGAATGCAACCAGGATCCTGAGTTTGTTTCTTGGGAGGTTGATTAACGATTTAAATCTCTTTTGGTAAAACCGCCACCCCCCTCCCAACTCACAGCTTGGCATGATGCATACCGTGCGCTCGCTGCCAATACCTTTCCCTGCACACTCTTTCTTCCTTGCGGAGCMRCTCCTTCACAGTGTGGGGACCCACCGCAATGAATGGTTCGGGCCCAACCATACTGGTGGMGGCTGCGGAGCDGGCTAGCTCGTCAGCCAGTTCGTTGCCGGCTATGCCCCTGTGGCCGGGCACCCAGATTAGGTGCACCCGGTTCTTTGTAGCTAGGTTGTTCAATCGTTCTCTGCACTCCTGCACCAAAAGCGATTTGATCTCATAGGAAGATCGCTATGCGCTCGTTGCGATAGTTGCGGTGGAGGTTTATCTCTGCACACCGGCTTATAGCCAGGACTTCAGCCTAAAAAATACTTGGAAAGCTTCCCATCGGAATGGAGAGCTTTGTACGCGGGCCTACAATACCAGCACCTATTCCTTACGACGTTTTTGAGCCGTCGGTGGGACACCTCAATGTCGTTCCACTCACTCTTGCTCCCGAGGGTAACCTTAAACCTTTTCGTGAAGTGAGTTGATTTCGTAATCCCGTCCCTTAGGAGAAGGGCGATAGGAATGTCGTCACTTATCCTCTCCATCCGTTCCGTTTGTTTAATATTATCAACAAATGCATAGCAAAATTATTTTTCAAGATTTTTGTGAGTTAGGTTTATAAATCTATTGATATTGATTCTCGGCAAACACTAACTTTAACAAGAATATCATAAGCAGCGAACAAACACTTCAAGGTGTCTTTAAACAACTGCTCAACTATATATAATACGTGGATATATGTGTATTTATATATTGTACAAATTTCATATTATTTCTTCAATTTTACAAATTGCGACTCGAATTCATATACACCAATAGATTCTTTATTCTTCTGATCATATTCAACCCAATCGTCTTCGGATAGATCCACATCTTCGAATGTTTGACCATTTTCCGCAGAACGCACTATCCAGCCATGACGCGGTGAAAAGTCAATAGGCTCCACTCCACGGCAATCGAAGATCACAATTGTTTTGAACTTGCCCGCATCTTCATGTGTGTAAGGCGCTGAAAGTACACCATTCATTTAAATATTTTAAAAATATCTTTAATATCTTATTACAATTCGTTTTTTCCACTATATCAATGCTGTTCTCACGGCCACACATTTTACATTTCATATAAAAGTTGAAACCTTCAGGATTTCGTGCGTCAGAACTTGCTTGTATGCGCTCTGATTCCGTTATGTCGTGCCATTTGTCTGACGGCTCACCACAATTGGAGCATTTTATTTTCACAAAAAACGAATAATCCGGATGATTTGTTTCCAGACTGTCGATATTCTCTAAAGTAGCAGAGATTTGCAAACCAATGCGAACCATTTTATATTTATTGTTGCACCTATTCTACTTGTGAAGAAATTCTAGAAATCAACTTCCTTTAATTCTTTGCGGTATTTGCCGAGTTTTTCTACATACATTTTCCACGTAAGCAGCTGTTAACAAAATGTCAGATTGCAGGATGCCAATTGGGATGACCCTTCTTCATAGTAAAAAAATCGTCAAAATGAATGGTTTTTAATTTATTTTATAGTGTCACTAAGCTATATATTTTTTAACATATATACCACTTAATAGAGCAACAATTGTTAATAAGTTATTTTAACTTTCCAAAATTCATGCTGTTTGATATGCCTTCATTTGTTACTTAATCATCGTATACCAAAACTGATATATAAAAAAAAATTCTTATTAGAATTAACTGGTAACACTGACCCAAATAAATCAAACAGCTGACTAAACTTTTTTGGCATTTCCTTATCTGCAATAAATTCATTGTTTAATATTTTCTCGAACAACACTTTATTTGCAACATTAAGTTTATAAACAAAATAGCAAGTTAATTATATACCAGTACAACGGATCCTGTATTACGTGAAATGAAGCCAACACCGGCTGCCGATGAAATGTTCAGCACGGATATGGAAGAGGTATGATTACCGATGAAGATGAGGCAGCGCATAACACAGTTAAGAATTTCATCAGGATTATATTATATTTACACTGAATTCATAACCTATTTTGTTATGACAAAAACATTTTAAAAGGATTTATATATCTACATTACAGTCGGGAAGCTCCTCAGGTCTACTAATCGATTTGCCAACTAATGAGAAGCAGGTGCATGCCGACTTCTACAACGATTTCGAGGAGTTATTTGATGATGACGATGATGTGCCAGCAAAAACTATTGGTTAACCCAATATCAAAAGTTCAGTTTGGAAATTATGTTAAATATCTATAAGTAAATACTTTTAATTAATAAAACATTCATTTGAATTTTCAATACGGTTTTATATTTTCTTATATTTACATATACATTTTCACTTAAATTATGATTATTTTTGAGTAAAATAACATTAAAAGACCGAATTTAATTCACTACTTACAATATTTGTAAAATATGCATTCAATCATAAATTAAACTTAAAATAAATTAAAGTTATATTTACATTTTTTAAACTAATAGCTAAACAGAAAAGATGGACTAGCTAGTGGACCTTACGATATTAACTAACGAAGTCACTTTGAAGAAATGTTTTAAAAATTATGCTGAGAATAACGAGTTCAGTGACACCTAACTTACAAAAAGAATTTTTATTTTCATATGGGTGTATTTTTCTTAAGAATAGTTAGAATTACTAAAAAAATGCTACCTGTTAAAATTAACGTGCGTCAAAGTATGCATATAATAGCTAAAAGAATCTCACGGTACAAATATTGCACACTTGTTACCACAATTCAAATTACATTGAATAAGCCGATTTAAGTTTAATTCCCACATCACCTAAAATACAGATAATTCAACTCCCTGTACTTTTCTATGATTTACTGACTGGTACTTTTGAAGTTTTTAGTTTTAAGAGCGAACTTACAATATTAATTTTTGTGAATTAACTTAAACTTGACTTTTGATTAAAAGCTATTATCTGGATGAGATTGTTATTGGTCATAATTTGAATCTAAATTGGATTTTTAGGTGTTCAGAAGTTTATGTGCTTACGAAAACTGTTCAGTAGTTTCTTGATTTGTTTGCATAGTTAGAAAAATTAAGTATAAAAGTTATGCTTTTAAAATCATTGCCCCTTCTTGTGTGAAAACGTATTTCTTTTACATATAGTTTATATATGTCTAATTGTTTTTTTTACCATACTGTTTGTAGAAAAAAAATGCAAATAAAAATTTCAACCATCTAACGGTGGTCCTAAATACACCATTGAGACCTCAGTGTTCCCATATACCGCGGACACCGTTGGATACAGCTTTTTGTCTGGCAAACCTGTAATATATAGATATTTGTAAAGCATTGGAAAATCCAGAATATACACATCTAATCATATCTTTTAATTGTGGTTGTTTTTATAGCATTAGAACTTACCTTTAAACGCTACACCTAAAAATTCACTGTTTTTTTCGAAAGATAATGTGTTATCATCACAATCAAGTATGACGCGTATCCGTTCGCCGACCTGAGTTCAATTAACAAATAGCAAATATCAGAAAATAGATTATACAATATTTAATATGCAATCGATGTGCCCTACCTGATACTTTGGTGGATTATTTAACAAGGGATAATTTCCTTGCGCATCACCATTGTGAAGCAACATATTCTCCACCAAATTCCATCCCCAACTCTGATCGTCTGAACCCAATAAGGCCACATAACCGTGACATTGTAAAACTGCTTCTTTTGTGGATATACCAATTACGGCAACCGTGCCAAGTGGTCCTTCCCATATGACCTCCCATGAGTGCCGTCCTTGCCGAAACCCTATTTTTCCACGTGCGGCGTCTGTGCTTTGTGCAACGGGATTGCTTTAAATAATTTTCGTTAAAATTTTTACATTTATGTTTTGTAGTTTATTTATATTTACCGATGCAAAGTAAACCCATTTGGTTTTATATAAACATTACGTGAGCAATCATTTGGGTTCCAGGCATGATAATAAGCGCGTAATCTTTTTTTATAGGTAGTAACTGAAGACAACAAATCTGATTTTAGAGCCTCTTGTGGTAACTTTCGCAAACAATGCATTCGCCATACTTCTGAACTTTCATCATTCAGAAAATGGTACCAATTCCAGCAAACCAATGCGCAATTTTTCAAATCACGTAAATCCAAATAAGAGAAGATTACCTCTAAAACATTGTAATTCGTCGCAAGAAATGGATCAACCATTATGAGGTTTGAAGTATGACGGTTACTAAATACGGTATCACTCTCTGATAGTCTTCACCGGTTATAGATTGCCCCAAATAATGTGGAAAAGAAGAAGCTAGTAATGCTCCAATTGACTATTTTGGCTACTATTGTTAAGTATTACGAAGCAATGTGTTAACAGTAATTACAATTGCAGTACCTAGTTTGACATCATTCACACTTTCAAACGAACTTATCTTCTTTTATTAGTTTTATTTTGATTATGCATTTTCGGTACTTTTCACACTTTAATGAAGTATTAATTATATTTATATTATATAGCTTGCCTCATTTATTTGCATAGCAATAACTTTTTACAAATCTTTAACAAAACTAAAGTTACAACGCTTTTTTGACGTTTCTCTTCAAATCTAATTCGTTTAATTTTTACAGAATGACGTCAATTTTTGTGTCTTGGATTAACGGGTAGTTCGTAAAGTGAAAATTTCAATGAAAACTGGAGTCTGTGTTACCATTGGTCTAACTGAATTTATTTAAACCAGAGAACGTATATCATAATTTATGTTCTCTGCCATATTTTTCTTAAGCTTGGCAGCGCTAATACATTCCAATGTTATGTTTTTTCAAACTGTCAAAATATACAGCTTATTATTCGATTTGATTCACATATTTGCGGATAAGTTCATTGTTTTTGCACGTATTGTTTGGAGAAAAAAGTCTGAAAAGGATATTTTCCGTTGAAAGAAAGTTTAGCTAGACCAAGGTCGGGGCGTAAACAAAATTAAATTATTTTTTTGCATTTTAATAAATAACTCGCGATAGCAGGTTAAAGTCAATCGATAAAATCACTTCCACTCAATTAACATTTGGAACAAAGTTCAATCTCTTCGTTAGTGAAAGCGAAGGACCACAAAGTTTCCTAAACAATAATATGGTAGATAACGGCGGAGCTACAAATAATTTCCGAAGTCCTATATTGATGGAATCAAATTTGATGCCATCAGCAGGCGTGGCAACTGGCGGTGGAATACGGACTATTGGAAATAGCAGTGACTCACAACTGCACACACCCTTCGCTGGTAATGTACGTGCGTTACCTCCACCACTGCCACAAGCTCCTTATACTACCAACATCGGCTATAGTACCAACAACACTTATGGTGGTTATACAGGTTACAATAGCTTTGGTAACAGTTTTGGCTCATACGGTGGATATGGTAACAGTTATGGCGGTTACGGGTCGTTTGGAAGCTATGGGGGTAATTTTGGTGGTGCGTACAATCGTTTTGGTATTGGCGGCATTAATCCTTTGGATCCTGAAATGCGTTTCGTACAAATGGCGGAAGCGAGCGCTAGACCTGCGTTTCAAAGTATTGAATCGCTGGTATCAGCTATTGGAAATATAGCATCAATGCTTGATTCTACATTTTTTGCACTGACTAGTTCTTTTCGTGCCATATTGGGTGTAGCATCGAATTTTGGCCGATTAAGAGGAGTATTTGCACAGTTTTGGCAAACATTCGCCATTTTTCGTGGACTAACATGGATGTATAAAAAGTAAATTGATATTAATTAATAATTTTATTTTTATTGTTATAATCACATTGACGTTTGTGTAATTTAAATTGTAGAATAATGTACTGGCTTCGTTTATCAAATATTGATCCGTCAAGCGAGACGTTCAAACAAGCTTTCGCAGAAGCCGTCAATGATTCTTCACAACAATCGGGCGCACCTAAGTTACCTCACAAAGGTCAATCCCCATGGCCGGTATTGGCTTTTATAAGTTTTATATTTACAGCACCATACCTTGTAATGAAACTCTTGGGTACAGTTACAAATACAGCGCAGGAAGAAGGTATGTACACTTGTGTGATTCTATAAATACACTTTGACCAAGTACATACGTAATTATTATATCTATAATAACAAGATATGATCTGCTTATATCTTATCGTTATCTCTGATTTTTTTGTTTACAAATCAGTACACAGTACAATTATTTCAATCGCATATATTTAAGATTAGATAATAATATAAAGCATTCTACAGTTGTTTAATCATATTTGGTCTATTGCAGCGCGTAATCCGACAAAGTGGATTAATCCTATCGAAACTGTTGCGATGTATGATTTTCAAGCCAGAAATCCTACTGAATTGAGTATGCACAGCAAACAACCTTTGCTCATTGCGCCGAAAGAAATACAAAATACTCTTGGAATGTTGAACACCGGCTGGGCAATAGCCTGTACTGTGGACCATCAGAATGTTGGCATTATACCGATAAATTATGTGAAAAGTCCGCAACAATTGCGTGAAGAACAACAACAACAGCAACAAAAATATGAATATCAGCAACAGACGATGTCACAGATGGCAGAGCCAAAAATTAACAAAGCACCACAGCCAGCTTTAATGGACTTATCAGCTTCGTCTTTTCCGGCACCGCCCTCCAATCAACAAATTGATGGTACGGACACTCTGGCTGATTTTGATATTGCACCACAAACACTTGGCAAATCCATTGTCTCGGTATTAGCTCCCAGTGCCAGCGAAGAAATATAATGAGATTCACTGCGAATAGTTCAACATTGCATCCTAAATATTTTTAAATTTAACCGTAAAACGTTGAGAATTCCACTTGTTCTATTTAAAAAGTTGAGAACTAGTTAAAAAGTTGTGTACTGTGAACTTTGATCATTTTGTTGGAATATTTTTTTTTTTTATAGGTGTAAAGTAAACTTAAAAAAAATACATATTTGCACATAGAAATAAAGTTGTAGTTTTATATAAATGCCCAAATTTATTTCTAAGAATGACTTAAAAAGCCGTTAGGCTAAACTAAACTATAAAACAAGTATATTGTTTGTAAGACAAAATCACTGTATTAAAATTAATGTTATTTATGGCGAGTGGTACCCAAATAAAAAAATATAAAATGTGCTAGATGATATATTTATACATATTAAAATATATATATGTACATACATACCAATAAATGAACCTTACAAATTCGAACAATTCAGTAAACTTTTATTTCATTGTTATATTTTTACTTTGTTAATTTACCAAAACAAAAAAATATTTAGATAGATCTACTTGTACTTTACGTTAAATTTAAAAATACAAATCAGTAGAAAATCAATATTTCGAAACAACCGATGCCGTCAAATTTAATTTGACCATTGCCATAAGTCTTGAAAAATAGTTTCATAGAAATTTTTGTCAAATCAAAATTCAAAATATGTATACTTAAAATAAGTAGTTGGTTTTTAATTTTTATTATATACTCCTAAAAAATTTAAATTCGTTTAATAAACACCATAAAATAAATAAATGAACTTTATAATTGTTTCATTTAACAGAGCTGCCTATAATGCTTCACTTATTTATAAAAGAGGGTTTAATAAAAATCGTTTACCTTCATGTATAATGTATGTATAAATAAAATCAAGAAGATATTTTTCATCTTTTATAAATTTAATTCAGTATAAGTAGTACACTTTATTTTACCATCTCATTCTACTTTGCTTCAGTTCAGTGTCGCGTACAAAGTCTGCAATTGTGATTTTCATCTGTCTACACATTATATAGTGTTTACAGCGTTTTGTTAGTCTAAACATTTAATATTATTCTCAATAATAAATAAATAACTACTTATTTGCGTTTCTTATGCAATATACAGCTATATACTTGCTTTTCATCCTCCACAATGTGAATGTGAATTTGAGTTAAAAAATGTTTTTAAGATATTTGCACAAACATTTTAGAAATTTGACCAATTGATCGGCTTACATATTATTTGTATTTATACCAATTTATTGTTGTATATATTCAATTTAAAATACATTTTGTATTTATGGCGTATGCATGGAAAGTCTGTTACACTTTTTGTGCATTTTCCAAATAAATTAATAAAAGGAAATCAAATTTTTCACTTTTTTAACTTTTTTATCTATAAAAATGGTGACATTTCTTGATTTAAAACATGCTGATTTGGTCAAGACTTTTTTTTTTTTTGGAAGTATTGGACGTTATCATTGAACCCTATCCTCAAAGCATGCATATTGTTTGGTGTCGAATAAACGTACTTTTGCATTAAAAAATATTGTTTGGAAATCACAAAAGGTTTCGGTGTTTCTTGAGGCCTTTCCTTTGTATTTTATGTAAACCATGTAATATTTTTGTTACCACATATGCTTTTATTTTTCATATATCATTTTATTTGCGCCTATACTTCTCATACTTGCTTCTAAATTGTAATTTAAGCAAAACTACATATAAATATACAAATAATAGAGAGCTTCTCAATCAATTCTTAATAAAAATATAGGCTTTTTAATTTCCTATGTCCTTATTTTATTCAATTATTATTTTTGATTAATTAATAATTCAGCGTAAAATTTATTAAAACTAGGTAATAACATATTTTATATGTTAAAAAGTATAATATACAATAACTTTAGAAAAAAAACTGCTTATACAGAAGATATTGCCTTACACTTTTCGGGGTGTGATGAAATAAAAAAAAAATATTATACGTTTGCTTACAATTTTTAAAAGAAATTGCTGGCCAATAATAAATATGAAATGAAAAAATAAATAAAACAGTAGAAGTATTCAAACAAAACCAATAATTTTAGTTGTTTAATTATGCCCCTAAAATTATGCTTTAACATGTAGCAAGTAATAAAAGTATTTAAATTCCGCATAACTGAAAAAGGACATTAATAAACAGTTCAATTCTTTAGAAATTTCAGTATTCGTGGTGAAAGCATCGATAAAGCGAAATAATTTTGAATGTGGCTGAGGTGACAACCTTCAATCGCATATAAATCCGCATATATGAATCCGCTCCGATTTTACGTAACATTTTTATTGTTTGATAACACGAAAGTTTTGCAAGCTTTTCAAAAATTCACTTGCTAAATCAAAAAATGAAGTTAAACTTCTCAATGTGCTGGGAAAAATAAGAATATAATTAGAACTCAAGCAGTTGAAAAAGTACCAAATAAAAAAATATTATTTTTTATTGCATAAGCGCTAAAACATTTAATTTTCTATTTTACTAAACATTTTGAATATAATTTTTTTATATTTATATAATCGAATTCATGCACAACTTTCACAAATCATCACATTTTAAATCACACCCCTTTTCTGAAAAAGTCTTATGCACATTAAAAATTCAATACAAATTTGCAAATTGAAATGCAAAAAAAAAACTAAACTAAGTCTAACAAATTTTCCACAGTGGAGAAATTGAAATAATAATATTGAAAAGCAGAAGTCTATTAAATGGTTAAAAGGCTTTGCCTTACATTCCTTAGCAGAGTACGGCAACATACAAGTACATTCAAGCTACGTTAGTCGTAAT